CTCCATTGCTTTTCAAACTTCAATTTCTAGAATTCTTCAGTTTTTAATAGCATGATTTAACAGTTATGTTTGATATTTAATTAGGACTGGGACTTTAACGTGTTAATTAATGACATATATTAAAATGCATTAAAATTTATATAATTATTTGCTTTTTTATTTTGAAATTTTGTATTCATGGTTTCTTGTACACATATTTTTGACCAAAAGCAGCATCACAAGCGTTGGTCCACTGGGGGTATTTGTGCTTAAAAACCCTCTAAGTGCTATTATGGTTCTGTGAATTCCTGGACGACTGCCAGTCAAATCAGTCACTGGGAACTTCTCATCAAGAGAATCCCAGAAAGCCAATGTAGCTCTGTTATAGTTCTGTTGTCAATTGCAGAAATGGAACTTTACCTGCTGGTACCAGCAACACTCTTACAGGCTAAAATAAATCAATTGAGTAATTTAACCTTGTGAAAGTTTGTGATACAACTGCACTGCAATGTAATCTGGCAAACATTTTATTATACATAGAAGACATGCAGTTTGTCAAGACATGCTAATTATCCATGGCAAATTGCAGTAAGAATTAGACTATCTGAGATTCGCTGTTCCTGAGAAACAAAGAGCTGTTGACTGGATGCTGGACCCTGGATGCTGTACCAACATGAAAATTGTTAAACTCGCAAGAAACAAAGAAATCAGGAGGTGGAGCAAGCTGAGTATGCATAGGTGTCTCAGTTTTAATGCTGCACTGGGATAAGCGGGTGTCCTTGTTTTGCTAATTAAAAGCTATTGTGGAGGATTTTCGCGATTTTTTTTTAAAAGACCCGCCCTCTCTACTTTGAAAAAAATGCACGTCCGAGATCATGCAAGAGCCCATTTCTTCTTGGGCACACTCTGTTTAGTTGCGGTTCTCATAGCTCATACAAGCTTACTGTTCCCGAAAGTCCGCCTTAACCCCTAAATCCCTCAATCAGTATATAGAGTGGGGGCTAAATAGTGGACATTACAGTGAAATCAGTTAACTGATCGTTCGAACAGATGATCACTACTTTTTGCTCCCCGTTGGTCATATAACTCCTCCTCCACTGCACTGTGCCTGCCACCTTTGTTATTAGACACATCTGTTAGGTAGCGACAGTGTGCTGTGACAGTAATTCCCATAATGCTTTGCAAGGAGAGCTCTCCATGCAAAGCATTCCGCGATATATTTGACTCTTCTGAGGCCTTTCTTTTCTTCTCATACAGTTCATAGACACTTTTTCTTTTACAACCCTCTGCCATTTTCAAAGAACCACGGTGGGAAAGGTGAGCTTCAATGACACTCTGAAACTGTAGCTAAACACACATACACGTCTAAAGGAGCACACATGCAGAAAAAGATAGCTAACGGGACGAACACGTAAGACAGCCTTACGTAAAAATATCACCAGAATGATTGACAATCAGGAGGACCACTTATTTAGACGATCCACCAGGAAATAAAAGATTGTCCTCTATACCTTTAAGCAATGAAACTCCTGTCACTAGTCAGCCTTGTCAATGTGATTTCTTAGCTCTGGTTCATCTAAAGACAGAAAGCAGAAACAACAGGAAACTGACCTAAGAGCTTCATTTTCTATTCTAAGCTTTGATGCTTTTATCAGGAGCAAAAATCAATCTGTATGTGGTGCTGAAAATCCATGTTTATGTTGTTGATGTTGTCAAAAACTTGACAAGGTTTTTCAAAGTAGGATATCATTCCATTGATCAGTTTTAGGTCAGAACCAAAGGAAAAATGATTTTAATAACGTTTTTTTTTTATTTGAATAGAAAAATGCTGTTGAAAACACACTCTATAGTTTATTGTTGGTTTAAGGTTTTATGAAAAAGGTTTTTGTTAAAACTGCATCTGTGTTTCATAATTTTATGCATCTTGCATTCGGAGCAGCAACAGAATGCATTGAAAAGTTTGCCACTGCTTGCTCAGATTGTTATGCTAGCTTTATAAGCACTGCCAGAATGATTGAGGTAAAAAAATAAATACATAAATAGAAAATAAAAATCAAAAAGCCACTGAGAAACACTGCTCTAATTTAAAATGTAATATACTTTGAAGAAAACATTTAAATTGGCAAAAGGATGAAGTCCAGAATCTTTTTTTTCCATAGCAATTATTTTTTGCAAATCTTTAAAATATAAAATTGTAATCGCTCCCAAGATTTTAAAAAACAACGCTTACGTTTCTTACAGTACAGAAGACATCAAGACATGTACGGTATGTTACATTGCTGTAGTAACAAAATGAGTCACAAAAGATTTAATACTTATGCTACATACAAATGTTTGAAATATATATATAAAAAAAAACCTTTGCAAGATTTGTAGTAGATTTTCCATCCAGCATTTCTCATTACACAGTTTGAAATCCTAGCAGGGCTGCTTACACAAAGGAGCCATTCACAGGGCTTTGTGCGTGACTTATGAGCATGCACTAACGCACGCTCTCAAACACACACAAAGATCTACGCACAGCTTTCAGTCAGTCTAAAATTTCACCAAACTTGAATTGCCCCAAAACCCAACAGGAGCCGCGTAAAAAGTGGTTCTCATGTTACACACTCACCCAAAATAGACGTTAAGTACATATTGGAGACATCTCATGACGTAAATTATAGTTTAGACTGGTCACACACGTTAGAGTGTGCAAATACACACAAAGACACTCTTTCACTGTACGTAATACAGACTGATGCATTAAGGAGAAAACTACTAAAGTTTTAAAAGATGCTATTTTTTAATGCAAATTCAAGTTGCTTAGGTTTCTGAAATTCTATTAGTAGGGTATCAAAGTAAAACTAAGAGAGATAATTTACATATAGAAATAACTGTTTCAAGCAAATTATATTTAGGACTTTCAATCCTTATTTCACACCACACATGTTTAAGTTTACAATAAGAAAAACTAAGCCACAAAGTCTTCTAGGTTTTCCAAATGAAGAATATTGTTCTCAGTACTGACAAATGAAAACCTCATTTATCACTTCCTGGAATTAGGGGAGAGTGAGAAAATCTTTACAGGATGTTCACTAAGAGCACTAGTTTGTAGAAAAAGTAATCGGTGTAAAGGAAACAGGCGCTAGGACTTGTGGCGCTAGTGGGCCTAGCAATCAAAACAATCCCTCTATGTTCTGATTGAAGAGAAAAGGATTGACGCCAGACTCTTCAACACGCTTCGTATGAGAGAGAGAGTGGGTGGGGTGAGAAGGAAGAAACAACAGATATACAAAATGATAGGGAATGAAGTGGAGATGGACAGTAAATAGAGAAACCCTTCTATTTAACTTCCATCCTGTCATTCTCTTTCTCTTTTTTCCCCATTCTGACCAGTCTCTCTTTATTGTATTTTTTATATTCCAGTAAAACTTTCTTGGCTTTTTCAGGCCTCTTCTACCACTGATGTTTAATATATTACAGTTGTAGAGAAAGTACATGGGAATTTCCCACACCGTAGTACTATCAGACCCAGCCTCCACCACCCACGCTACCTCACTTTGTGCCTTTCCCTTGACTCCTTCTGTGCTGTCAGAGGGGAGTCTTGAGGAAAACCACCCATATTCCACCACAGACTATTCTGGATAGCTGCCGGGATTTTTTTTCCCTGAAGCCCACAAACTTGAGCTCCATGTCAGAAAAGTCAAAGAGGAGAGAGATATTTCTCCACTTTGGAAAAAAAGCCTATTGTAAAAATTTAAAAGCAATAATAAAGGAAGTTCAGCTTTTCAAACATAAATAGTAAAGGGCATGTACTCACAATATTAAAGTGTTTTTTCTAGTCGGAGGACTACATTTAATCATTCACACAATCATACATGATTGTGGTAAGCTACAATGTAGCCACAGCTGCCCTTGGGCATTCTGATATAATCATTGGATGAAGTGTTGCACAGACGGACAAAGCTGGGGTTTGAAGCAATAATCCTACCGTTGCAGGACTGCCACTGTCATATGCCAAAGTCAAAAACATTTGTTCCCTGAAGGCTATCAATCCATGTGTTTAAGCCAAATCTCAAACATAAAAACCAAAAAAACCTTAAAAGCATTATTTTACCATTAAAGATGAATTTACGTCGAACTCACCTCAAGCATATCTGTTTTACATTTTATGGAGTTTCCATGGATGCACTTTGGCAAATTCCAAACATGTCCGACACTTTTACCATTTCATCAATATCCAAACAAAACTTTGAATAACTCAAAGTTACATTTAAAAAAAACTACTTGGACATTTTATAGGAAGCAACTCCACATTGTCCCCTTCTTGTAGAACACTGTTACAGATGTGTGCAAAGTAGTTAGCACTGTGCTAATATGAATTTCATCCTGTTCAACTCAAGAGTACAATTACATTCACACAGCTCAAAGGATACGCTCACACTGCAGGCCTTAATGCTCAATTCCGATTTTTTTGCGAAATCCGACTTTTTTTGTGTTGCCGTTTCACATTTCCAAATATATGCGACTTGTGTGTGATCTCCTGTGTGAACTGCTTAAGTGTCCCGCACGCAGTAAAGGACGCAATGATGCAAGATGATAAAATAAAAAAATGGTCTCCGCATTATCGTCTGCCATACTTGTTGTTTTTCTTCCTATATATATATATATATATATATATATATATATATATATATATATATATATATATATATATAAAATAAATAAAAACTTCTACTACTTTATAGTAGTAAAAACAAATAAATGCTGTATTGTACAGTGTTTTACAATAGTATTATATAATGCTTTATAATAAAACTCTGTATCTCGAGAATAAAAAATAAGTATCAGCTGTGGACATTTCACAGTAATGGATATGTGGAAAAATAGAGATGTGCAAAAAAAAAAAATAGACCTCTATTTGTGAATATCAGGTGTACAGATAAAAAATTGTTAACTAGAAATTAAAAACTATTAAAAATGCACCTATCAAATTCTGCCCAAATGAGCAGAACAGGCTTTTATGGGCTGTGATTTACCTCTGCAGCCTGTGTCTCCTGGTGCAGCAGAGTCAGTCCTGTCAGGTCTTCCAGAAATGAGTGGGAGGAATTAAAAACCTGGGAGAGAAAGCTGAAACCTTCCCTCTCATAGTGGTCCAGGACCTGCATAAAAAGAGGAAAAATACAAGGAAAGCATTTAAAGGCAGTTTAATGTGATATAAACTCTGCTATGTAGGGAGTAAAGCTTTGACTGCTTCAAATCATTTTCATTTAACTTCAATGTCTTACACTTCTATTTATCATAGAAATAAAAAAAAAAGAAATAAAGGTATGCTACTAAATAGCATACCTTAAACTAGAGGTGCAAAATACACTGAATGAAAAACAATAGAATTTCAATGTTTGCAATGTTGCAATCACAAAAAACTCCTTCAATAGAATAGATTAGAATAGCTTTATTTGGACACCATATTTGGTAGCCTACTATTGTTTAAATACAATGCATTAATAAAAGAATGCCAGTAACACAATTCATCACTTGAATTTATTTTCACTGACTAAGCATTAAACCTTTTTTTTAACCAAAGGGTATCAAAGTGGATGTTCTTCATGAGTTTTAGCTTATAATTTCAACCCAAATAATGAAATTGAACCTCATATAGTCCCGTGCATTAGCCTCATACAATGAAATAACATGTCTACAAAAAATATGGAAAAACGTTAATTATAAGTAAAACTTGAAATGGTTTTTTGATTTTGTTGCTTGTAGATTTAGATACAAATACAGATTTCATTATGAAAGGGTATTACATTTCTCACTGGGAATGAAATGGTGGTGGACATGGTGTACAAAGTGGAGAAAGATGGTGGAATACCACTAGCTTTTGTTAGTAGTAGTTTATTTCTTTGGTCATTATAAACATTATAAACACTTGGAAAACATGTCACACATTTTTGGAAGTTCTTGTACATGATACAATAAGAGAATTCCTTTAAGAATAGCCAGTGCCTGAGGCAGGGAAACCTCTAAAACCTACAAGACAGCGGCCTTCAAGGACCGAGTTTTGGCATGACGGTAACATACTGTATATGCACAAAAAGGTATACTTACCAGATCAAATTTATGCTATGCATCAAAGTTAACTCATTTATTTATAACCTTTATTAAAGTGTTCTATACTTTTCCATAATATTTGACTTTCAGATTAATGTAATGCTTAAACATGTCACCAATGGAAGAAGCCAAAGGGAACTAATGGTCAAAGATTGTTCTGATCTAGGAGAATAATTTTTGGACCTCTGCACAGAGCTGGCCTTAGCCCTATAGAGGGACACCACGACGAATCTTGGCGCTGCACTCCTCAGTTTCTACTTGATAAGCAATGAAACAATCTAAATAACTCTGTATGTCTGGTCTGCTTGTAGATAACATGTCAGTTAAGATTATTTTCATACTGGATAGGACACCACATGACTATGCTGAGTCATGGCTACTTGTTAACACTGCAATGCGCATTCCCCGCACTAGCTCTGTTTACATGCACAAAATTTCCCAATCGGATTGAAATGTAAAACGGCTGTAATTTGTAAATAGTATTGTTATTGTAATATTTAACAATAACATTACGATGACAGATTTGTCTAATATTGTGCAGCACCACTCTAGGAAAACACAAAAGTCAAAACATGGCAACAAAAAATTTAAAAGAAATAAATGATTTATGAACTCATAGGTCTTCAAGTAATGTTGTTCTGGCACTCTTTGTGTCGAGCATATAAGACAAAATCATTATGATGCAAAAGCATGGATTAACAGGGTGTAATCAAAATGAAATTTAAATCAAAAAAATTTTTTTTTTCATCTGCTGAACCTCTGAAACACACCAGCTAACACCTCCACAGCCATACCGATGTGTTTATCTTGATGTCCGAACAGGACTTCAAATCCCCACACCACTGCCCCGGTACACACAGACCCACACACAAACATCCTCTGCCTTTGCGACTTCCTCCCAAAGATTGGATGAGCCTTTCATGAACATTACGAAGCCTCTTCTGCAGGTGTAGAGTTACTACTGCTTCAGACATCTGTACACTGCACTCAGCACTGCCTTTGTGTGTTAGTCCATGTGTGTATAAACGTTTGTGTGTTTTGCAGACTCGATCTGGCGTCTGGTCCTGGTGCCAGACACACCACCCACAATACACAGTGATGTTCCCGCCATTCACCTTTTCAGCCTCCCTTTTCTTTTCTTCATCTTTCATTTTTTTGATTCTCCATTTCCATCCACAGGTTCGGCTACACGACACTCCAAAAAAACAATGTTGTTAAAATGTCCCTGATGAAGCCACAGATAGCAACCTGACTCCCATTGAGGATCTGGTCATTTAGTCATTGCAAACATCCTTGAATCAAACGCTACCTTTGAAATGCATCAAAGAAGAAAATATATTTGATATCTAGAGAGACAAAAACGATAAAGCAAAGTTAGGGACTGAGGAGGAAAGATCCAATTTGGAACCAATTTAATATTAACTGTTGGCAGAACATCAACCAGTCAGTCATAGAATTAAGTGGATATCTAAAAACAAAGAAAATGCCTTCTAGATGCATTTAAGGGTATGACCTACCATAAGGCGGTGTTTGATGATTATATTTTGTGGTTGCATGAAAGGTTTTTCTGTGCACCTGCATGTGAGATGTCCTACACACAAGGAAATATGACTCATCCACCCCCAGGTTCCAAAACTGGGCCAGTCTGACAACTTTACTCCCCACAAGCCAAGCACAATTTTATTCTGCATGCTGTTACATCAATTAGCCTCAACAATGTTTTAACTTCAGAGTAAATCTGCTCTGGTATAGACAGTAAACTAGTCAAGTACAAGGAATAGTGTTGTTAATGTTTACCTGTTTCTGTCGCTAATCTGCAGTTACTACAAATGATTAGGATGTGATTGATGTATGCTGATATAAAAGAAGCTTTAATCAATACCAAGTGTATAGAATGAAAAAAATGTCTCAATACATCTCAAAAAAGAGGTGTCACCTGACCAGCTGCACCATCCACAAACTCAGTGACTAAATTAGATCCATGAGAAACCTCACAGATAAATGTAGAGATATTTTGCAGAGACTGGCAATGATTTCGTCTTCTAGATGTGTAAACCTTATGGAGACTGAAAATCCTTTCAAATGTAATTTAATCAGATTTTTTTTTTTACAAAAGGTAATTTCATGTAACATTTTTATTAAACTCTAGGTATGCACCAGTATGTTGGTCTGTTAAATAAAATCCCAATAAAGAAAACAGCGTCCAAATCTTTTTCAAAAGTCCTGATTGGTGGATTTATCATCAAATTAATGAAAATTAGATCAATTTAGCCCTAAAGAAGCCTTTGATTTTTTAAAAAGCTCAATTTAGAAAGATACTTTTCTTCTATTCTTGTTTATTAAAAAGCAAAAGTTATACTAAGTCATTAATAATGGGTAGAGAAGTGATATTTAGAGAGAACATTTTAAATCAATGTACAAAAAAAGTTTCCCATTTATAGTGGCGGCACATTTTGTTGTGTGTCCAAGTAGCTGTAGTAAGAGGTGTCTGGCATGGTTTTAGACAATGCCACGTCAGCTGTGATTTACTCTTTGGCGTGTAGTTTTATTGGCTTCCAGCCCCACAAGAGTTAGAAAACACATACACCCTCACACACACAAACAGAGTGAAAAGCCCCAACTCTACAGGAACCGCTCCAGCCCAGACAGAGGCTGAATTGTTTTGTTTCCATAGTGACCTGGCAGCACACAGCTGACTGCAGCAGAAATACACACACAAATCCAGAGGGAAGACAAAGACCGAAACACACACCAGCGCCATTAAAGGGAGCACACCGATATATGGGCACAGGGATACACAAAAGAGTGGAGAGATATGAGGGGGGGTTCAGGAAGCGAGGAGAAGGAAGAAGCTGAACTGAAACTGGAGTAGCTTGAAAAGAAAAGAGTGAAGGGCAGATAAGCAAATGCAAAACAGAGAAGCTAAAGATGTGTTGGTCGGATTGAAACCTATTTAATTCACAACCTTTATCCCTGCCTAACCAAAATGTGTTCTCTCTCTCTCATGTCCATTATTCCTGCCTACACCGCCTTTACCCATCAGACCATGTGAGCAGCTCTGTGCACACCAAATCATTTCATCAGTCACACGGACAGAAATATGACACCTTAAGATGGGCTGGAAAACCATCCTTTTTTTTTTTCTCCACAAACCAATGCGTAGGTGGAGAGAAGTTTTAGAGCTGAAGCTAGCAAACTCCCTGCCCCCCTCCGTCTCTTAGTTTCTCTCTGTCCTCACATGAAAGTGATAGATCTGGGGCTTTATGACCTCTTTATCGACATAAAGAGCGCATTCAGATTGGGGGAGAGAATAAGGGAGAACCAGCCCTCTACTCATCACAACAGCCTTTTTTTCACTACTACATTTCCTCTGCTTGTAACCCCCTCCGTACTGACCCCCCACCTACGCAACCACCCACCTATCAGTCTCCTCTGGCTTCTTTTTAAACTACCCCTCTCTGTAAATCGAAAATCCTTCTTTATGGCTCTCACTTTTTTTACAACTCACCACATAAACCAAAAGTAAAGCAGTAAAAAGCATGAAAGGGTAATTTTTCCCACCCCTATTTGGCAGATTGAGACTATCTAGAGTCTTCTACAACCCATCTACACACGCTCACTTATACACACTCGTGCGCACACAGCAATGGTGAGAGCGTACGACACTTTCTGACATCAGTGAGCAACTGCTGCCTGATTGTTACCAGATGGTTTAACCAGCTTTCCTGTGTGCGTCTCTTTAGTATTCCTCTAGGAACAACATTTCAACACAGCTACACTGACAATATGAAAATGGGAGAGCTGGGAATCCCCTCAATTTCTGCTTTGACTGCAATTAGTGTTTCAAAACAGTTGTCACATAGTAACACAACATGATCTGATAAGAAATCAGAATCTATACATCTTCATTACTTTTTAAGCCTTTCCGACAAACGACTTCACGGTTTGAGCTGGAGAAAAGACAAACTGTCACTTACAACTGGTGAGCAGGCAGTGCATTTATCGAAGGCCAGGCTGGCAGGCAGGACATTGTCAAACCTTGACAGAAATCCTCGGATCTGTAAAGAATAATAAAAGAAAATACCAACAAGTCAATAAATATGTTCTAAAAAAAAAAAAAAAAAAAAAAAAAAAAAGGTTATAGAGTTTGTAAGAAACCTTCCTGATGTCAAATCTGGGAACCCCCTACACCTTTAATATAATTTCTTGCATTTAGTAGTAAAAAAAAACTAGTGGTGACTTTATAAAGAAACTTTGAGACTCTGTATTGGGCTTAATAGCAAAGAAGAGAGCTCCCTCTGGAGGTGAAAAGGTAGATGGCAACATTTTTTAACTATTACTGTTTTCCTTTCTCACTCTACTATGGGTATTCATCTTTATTACTGTGCAAAGCAGCAGCTTCCAAAGTTGTCTTTATACACCTTTAGTATGAGCACAACAAAAGCTGTGTCCTGAGATCCTCTTTTAAAAATCAAAGCAAATAAAATGGTTATGGTAAAGCAACCAACACATTTAGGAACGGATTAAATAAACAGCCCTGTATATTAGCTGTAATGCAGCTTGTTCTGGAAGGAGCCTCATTCTTAAGAACATGTCTAAAACACTTAGAAGGGATACTCAGCTATGGAAAAGGTCAACATCAAAATTACTTTTATTATAAAAAAAGAAAATTAAAAAATATATATTTTTAACATCATTATTGAGCAATTTAATGTTTTTAAATTGACAGCATTAAATAAACAAAAATAAAATGACATAAAATGAAATTTTTCTAGATATGTTTTTGATTTTCTATCATGAATTTGGTTTTCTATGATGAATAAACCAACCCAGAGCTATGTATGTGAAATCCTAACTTTCACTCTTGGAGAATAATAAATTACTTTGGATTAACACCATTTTATTTGACTTGCCACATTAAGACGTTAGTAAAGGGTGAACCTGTATGAAAACTTGCGGCAGGTTAAAAAAAATCCCAGAAAAAAACACATCATGTCTTAATGTTAGGAACAGCTAAGAAATGGATTCTTTCACATCCATCAGTCTGAAATGTTTTTTTTTTGTGTTTTTTTTTTAAGCCTTTAGAAATCCTAGATGGAGCAGAATCTTTATAAGATCCTGGCATGATCATAAACAAGTCACCAATGCTTGAAAACCCCAACATTTTGGGTTTTGTGGAGCCAATTTTCCTCCATGTTCTACAACCACTTTCTCTGGGAACCATTTGTCTGATAATAAAATAATTAGATGCACATCTCAAACCTGTCTCTTAATAACACCAAGTCCACTGGGCATCTCTTATTTCTGACAATTTATCCACCCTTTCAGAGTTAGCACATTTGTGGAAATTAAAAGCCTATAATTGTGTATTAGGTATTCTTTTCATTTATTTCCTATTTCTTAAAGATACAAACCTTCACAAACTGCTACATTGCTTTATACTGTACATATAGGCATGTTTGCTTATAATTTCTGTTCAATGTATCCCCTTCCCTAAGTAAACATTGCTTAACATGCTGCAATCATTGGGTTTGAGGGCTGGATAGAAAAATAAGTGAAGATGCAGTAAAATGAAGCAGAAGAAAAGGCTTTAGAGCACTTAAGTTAGAGTACTCTGGTTTCTTGGAAGCAGATGAATAAGACCAGTTTAACCCCTTTAAATCTCCTAATAAAGAAAATGTTATATAACCTCATACTGGAGGTCGAATTGAGTTGAAGAATGTGAAGATGTACATACGTTCTCACCATTTCTACAATACATAAAGAAGCATCAGCTTACCACATCTGAATAATACCCTCATTTCTACTTCATTTCTTGTCTTTTATAACTGTTCATTTCTGTTCTTTTGTGTAGCACTGGCATATTCAGTGGAAGAGTAATGAAAAAATAGATGGGCAGACTATTAATTTGACTGCAATAACAATCAGAGTAATTTGGTGTTAATATAAGATGGGATGATGCAAAGCACAAAAGTCCAATAGGTCAGAGTGGTAGACGAATGGGTGGAATAGGAATAAAAGGATATAAACTTGCAGAGTCTTTAAAGACACCATGTATTGGATACACATCACTATGCATAAAGAAAGTTAACTACAGACTTTCCCAGAGTACTCTAACGATTTGAAGTATTTTTTTAAAGATTTAGCATACTTATTCGGATTTCCTGTTACGGATCAACAGGAAGTGCAGAAATGTGAAATGGGAATAAAACAGAAAAGCCTGGATTACATTTGCATTCAAGCCCTTTTGTGTCACTATTGTTTTATGTATTCTTAGATCTGGACTTTTGGGTAATTCTAACACGAAAATATGTTTTAATCCAAATCATTCTATTGAACATCTAAGATCAGAACAGCTGGGTTCAAAACAAGAGTTTCTATTTTAAATTAACTTAAATGCATTGTTATTATTTCTTTTATTTCACAATATGTTATATTTCCTGGTGGCCTGTCACATTAAACCTCAATAAAAACATTAAAGTTTGATGTTGTGGCTTCATAAAATGTAAACAGCTGCTAGAGGTATAAATGCCTAATAACGGAGCCGTATCAGGCCAAATTACCTATTTAGGTTCAATAACAAAAAAACAAAACAAAAAAAAAAGTTAAAGTTTTAGTACTTCTATGTGTTTGTTAATATAAACCTGCAGTATTCAATGTAGAAAATTAGACCCAAAATCAGAAGCCTACGAGCGGAAGATTTCTTTTCAGAATCTATGGTTAGGCAATAACACAACAAAAAAATAATGTGTATTAAGTTTAATCTTCTGATAAGATTTTCATTAATTATTTAATTACAGACTTCAATTGAATAAAACAGATAAAACCTGAGATGTTATTTTCATTTGTTACAAATGTTAGATGGGCTTCTAATGTGGTTTATTTGAAGTAATTTAAACCTTTTTTCCGTATGGATTTCTCATTTGTAAAGATGACCTTTATCAAACTTAACATGGAAAGAAATATTCCTCAATGCAACTGCTGAGATGGAGAATAAAACATTAATGAACTTTAAGGGAGATTGCACTTACTTAAAAGTTCCCCCTGTACCTAAATAAGCTCTAAAATAACAGTAGAAAAATTATCAAAGCAAGTGTAAAGCAAATATTTGACACTTGAGATATGAAATGGGATTTTGATTTCTTAAATCACCACAAGCTGTCGCTGTGGTACCACTGAAAAAGAGCAAACAGCATCAGCCTCAATATTCCCAGCATGTCAGGTTTAATATATATTATAATACTCAAGAATTACTCAGCGATGTTCTCAGACATATTATTTTTTTGGCACCTCCCCCCCTCTGTCTTCACACACACACACACACACACACACAGAAGCATTTGCAGGCCATTTTCCTACAGGTGATTTGGCAGAAAAATCCTCAGCAGCAAAAGTGTCAAGCAAATGGCACGGATTCATATTCTCAGGATGATGAATAATGACGATGATGCAAATGGAGGTGGTGAGACGCAGCACCCTGTTAGCCAAGAACATAGTTTGGACGGCTTTAAATCATCTAATCTTCCTCTGTTTAGTGAGTCACCACAGATCTGAGCTTTTAATCAGGATTTCAGCCAGTTTTCAGGATCTTTTAAATTAATAAAAGTGTTTTTGGTTTGTTTTGCTAAACTCTGATTATTAAGTTTACATTAATGTAAAATAAAAACTAACAACAAATAAAAACACTTTATGGTTGTAAGATAATTCTTTGTCTGCTATTCATAAACCTAATTAAATTAAACTTACCTTAAATTCTAAGACTTGTTTCATCAGCCGAGACAAAACAAAAGCAATACACTATATTGTATCTGAGTAGACCAAAGCAAATCAGAGAATATGTGTAAAGATTCTGGGAAGCAAAGTCACTCTAAATCTTCTTCCCTTAATGTCTAATTTGTCCAATATGCATGTATAAATCTAAATCAACTCAGACACTCTAGTGCTAGAAGGGAAGAAGTGCTGGCATTAGAGCGAAAACTGAAGAAAAAATTTGATAAGTCATAAAGATTACGTTTGATGAGTGGTTTTTACTTGAAAGTCCTCTCCTGATTCAGACTCACAGATAAAGGCTGATCATTTGAAGGACAAACTGTGTTCAGAGAAACTCTGGAAGACATGTATAGAGTGGCACTGAAAAAGCAGCCATTTCAAATTGAACATTTAAAGTAGGCAATTTGAAATCAAAGCTTTTTCTAATTACACTTTTTAAATTGGAATATTAAAGAGAATTCTAAAATTTATTAATGAATCCATTATTATATATTGGAGTTTGAAAATGTATTTTGAAATCCTATTTCTAAATGAAAAAAATATATAAATCTGATTATAAATACCTTTCCTAATCTTTTGGAAATTGGATTTTCGTTTTGCTTGACCTTCTCCATTTACCTTTTCTGTTCCCAGAGCTCTCTGGAAACACTGCCACACTTCCTTGACAAAATAACCAATAAGGGAGCTAGTTATATCTGAGGAGCAATTGTGATGTGTTATTGGTTGTTTAATAAAGGATTAATAAACACAATTTACAATTCCTCTTTAATATTTCAATTTAAAATGGACAATTAGAAAACACTTTTATAATTGGATTTCAAATTGCATGATGAATTGTTAAATTTGAAATGTCTGGTTTTCCTTTTTTAATGACTCTCTGGGTCCTCCATAGACTGGGGTTCTTGGAAATTCAAGCGATGAACAAACCCAAGGCTATTACAGAGTAGCTGAGTGGTGAACTGCAAAGAAAAAAAAATAAAATAAAAGCTTAGAGGACCTTACTTACAGTCCTTGGATGTTAGCTGTGTATGATGAGGTCTATTATTGTTTAGTTAAACAAGGTTGTGTGGAGAAAGGCTTTACTTTCATAAAAGAGCATAACAGCTTGACTGAGGCTAATAAAACCCCCAAGGAAAAAAAAAACACATAGGAGAAAAACAAACTAAATGACATAACCTCAAAGACATACTACCATCTACAAGGCTTAGTGATGGAAGTGTGACAATTTGGGCTTGCTCCTAAGTAAAGCTGCATGAATTAAATATAAACTAAAAGTCTGGCAACATTT